GCGCGTCCCCCCCCAGCCATCGGGAGCCTTGGGACGGGGGTCAATTCAAGCGGGGGTCGGCCAGAGCGTCCGATTTTGCAGGATCCTTCAAGGCCAGGGTCGCATTGACCCTGGCTTGGGTGCAGGATCTTGCAGGATCCTTCGCGTTGACCCGGGGTTGGGCGCAACATGGTGCAGGATCCTGCGCGATCCTGCGACCGGAAGCGCGTCTCCCCCCGTCCAGGCCGTTTCCACGCTGTCGCCCAGAGGAGGAGGAGGAGGACGACGACGACGATGACGAAAAAGTACGGCCTTGGGGCATAACCGCCCGTATCGATCAGTAGGTGCGAAGAGGAGGAAGAGAAGGAAAAGGAGGAGGAGAGCCAGAGGGGGAGGGAGGAGGAGGAGGAGTAAGAGGAGGAGGAGGAGGAGGAGGAGGAGGAGGGAGAAGGTCGTGGCGCCGGGGCCAGTGGCACGCACTAGAGAATGCAACAGCGTCCATGCAGGAGTGCGAACACAAAACTCTTTATGCAACTTATCACGATCGCAACCGACGCGTTTAATTCGCGTTTGGCGTCTCCCAGTGTGGACGCCATTGCTCCTTCAGGGCGCGCCGATTGACGCGTACGTCGTCGCACTCGAAGTCGCAGTTGTCGTCGTCGTCGCGGTCGGATTCGCGCTCGTCTTCGAGAACGTCGTTTTTGCCGTAGTAGTAGTCGTAGTAGTCGTAGTCGTAGTAGTAGTAGTAGTAGTAGTAGTAGTAGTAGTAGTAGTAGTAGTAGTAGTAGTAGTAGTAATAGTAGTAGTAGTAGTAGTAGTAGTAGTAGTAGTAGTAGTAGTAGTAGTAGTAGTAGTAGTAGTAGTAGTAGTAGTAGTAGTAGTAGTAGTAGTAGTAGTAGTAGTAGTAGTAGTAGTAGTAGTAGTAGTAGTAGTAGTAGTAGTAGTAGTAGTAGTAGTGGTAGTGGTAGTGGTAGTGGTAGTGGTAGTGGTAGTGGTAGTGGTAGTGGTAGTACAGTCAGGAGCCCTCGTTGGTACAGATCGAGGAGAGGAGTTTGCGGAGAAGGAGGGGGGAGGGGGAGGAGGACGGATCTGATTTTGTGATGGCGTTTGCAAGTCCAGTCTTGTTGTGGCGGGTTTACAATTGAATTCAGTTTATGTTGAGTTCGCAATTGATTTCTTCTGTGACAGATTTACAATTCGAAGTTTTTGTTGGTGGGGGCCCTGGGGGTTTCAGGGTTTTCCTTTTTTCCGGATGTTGTACAATGTTTTGAAGTTTTTCTTGTTTTGAAACAAGTTTTCACATATATTCCTAGTAATTGCGCATGAATTACAATCACGTTCCCTTTCTGACGGGTTTCCGTCGTCCTTCTGCGCGCTTGAGCCGATCCGTTTTCCGTTTGCTATTGTCCTCCCGCCAAGTCCGCCTTCTTGCATTCCTTACCCGAAGGACCCAACTATCATCCCGACTCCTCCCCCTCAGCATCAACATCGTCATCATTATCTTCACCATGCCCCTCTCTCATCAGCATCACCCTTCACGTCATCCATCGCATCCCTGGCAGCGCAAGGGAAATCCTTGTGTAAGTCCGCCACAAAAGAAATTCAATCGAACATCGCCTCACAAAGAGGAAATGATTTTGTAAACTCGCCATAGAGGGAACTTGATTGAACTTCGTGCACACATAGAATTCATTAGAAACCAATGATAAAATTGGGAAGAAAAAAACGTGAAATCCCCAGAACCCCGGCACACGGGATTCGAATTGCAAGGCCGCCACAAAAATAATTCCAGTGTAAACCATTCACAACGGGAAGCCAAGTTTCAACCCGCCACGACAGGAATTGAATTGCAATGCGAATGTGATTGGAGGGGGTTCGGTTTTTCCAGTTTTCCAGTTTCCCAAAGTTTGACGTATGTTTGTTTTCCGTTTCCCCCCCGGCTCCCAATAAAATCATTTGTGTGGCGCACACGCAAGAATAATTTAAGTGTAAACCCACGACAAAAGGATATCAATTGCAAATGCGCTTAAGAAAAAATAGTTGCAAACCCGCCACAAAATGAATTGAATTGCGAACCCAAAAAACTAAGGAATAAACATGTAAACCGCAACAGGAAGTATTTCAACTCACAGCATCGCCCGACAAAAGGAACTCCTTTTTTGCCACCCTGCCACGAAAGAGATTTAATTGAACATCGCCTCGCACAGGGAATCCTTTTCGAAGCTCGCCACACAGGGAATTTGATTGTAAGCCTGCCAGAGCTATGAAGATAGTTCAGGGATGTCGGGAGGGCGCAAGACCGCAGTCCTCTCGGATCAAAACGGATCGCGGCCCCGAGGGGGTCGTCGCGCATGGCAGCGGAGCCCGTGGCTTGAGGATCCACGGGTTCTGCGTCGGGCGCGCTGGCCCAGCGGCCGTTGGCTGCTCCGCAAAAGCCGCGGGGGGCGGCCCAGCGGCCAGCGGGAGGCTCCGCGGGCCGCGGAGGGCAGCACGGCCTTCCCAGACCCCTTGCAGGCCGAGGCGCGGCCTCGGCGGGCGCCGCCGCGACGGGGCGGAATCGGCGAGGGAGGCGGCGGTCAGAGGGCGCCGCCTGGCGGCGACAGCGGCGAGGAAACGCCTGCAGGCTGCCGGGGTCAATCCTGAGCCTCGTCGACAAGATCGTCGGGCGCGAGCTTGACCTGCCGACGTGCACGCATCGCGCGTTTGGGGGCGTCGTCTTCGACGAGGAGCTGGGCCACGCCTGGCCGCTCGACGTCGCGGACGAGGACGGCCGCTCCTTCGCGCCCCGCGAGAGCGAAGCCTACGCGGCCCCCGCAGCGTGGAGGTTAAGAGGCGGAGGAGGAGCGGCAAGCAGCAGCGCCGCTGCGGGCAGCAGTAGACCCCGCGGCCGCGGGTGCAGCTGCAGCAGGAGTGGCGCAGCCGACTGCCCAGCAGGTGACGGACGCGCTGCGGGCCGCGACGGCCCGAGCGGAAGCCGCAGAGCAGCGAGCCCAGGAGCTGGAGGCGCGAGCGGAGACGAACGCTCAGCTTCAGCAGCTGCAGCAAGCCCTCCAGCAGCGGACTGCAGCGGGGGCCGCCGCGGCGGCAGCTCCAGCGCCAGCGAGGCCAGAAGATCGACGCAAGTGAGGCATCATCAACGCGAAGTTGCTGACAAAGCCAGCGCAGTTCAAGGGCAGCGAGGCAGCGTGGCCCGCGTGGTCGCTCATGCCGCTGGCGCACGTCGCGACGCTCGGCGACGACCTGCATTCGGAGATGATCACAGTCGGCCAGAAGGCCGAGGAGGACGTCACCAACGACGCGTTGGACCTGACGAACCCCGCGCTCGTCGGCGCGTCTCGGCAATTGCACCACATGCTCGCGCTGCTCCTGGCAGGCAAGGAGTTTGTCATGCAGCGGCCGATCCCGGGGGGCGAAGGATTGTCGGCGTGGCGCAAGCTCGCGAAGGAGTTCGAGCCCGACCAGCCAGCGTCGGCTCTGGGTCGGATGAGGGAGCTGACGGGGTGGACATTCGGAGAAGCGACGAACGAGACCGACATGGACGGGTCCGACGCGGCGGCCCAGACGCACGAGCGGCACGGGGGCGCGGTGCCCAGCGACATCAGGGCGGCGATCCACGTCGCGGGGATCCAGGACAGGGACCTTCAGCAGTGGCTGATGGTCAACGCCGAGCGCCCCGGGGACTACGACGGAATCGCCAAGCACGCGAAGGCGCATCTGACGAACAGGAAGACGTTCAGGGACGCAGCAGGAGGCACCGCAGCGGGGGCCACCGCGGCGTACGACAGCGGGCCAGCACCGATGGACATCTGGCCCCTGGCGGCGACGTTGGCAGCAGGAGGGGCGGCGCCAACCGAGGTGACGACGGTCGTAAACGCCACCAATAAGGGCAAGGGCAAGGGGAAGGGGGAGAGCAGTGAAAAAGACGGCGGCAAGAAGGGACGCGGGAAGCTCCACGACGGAAACAGGGGCACCCGAAACCAGCGCCAGACGCAGAAGGACGGCACGGGTAGAGATGGGAACGGTGGTCAGCGAGTCGACACACGCACGCGCAGGAAGTGCCATTCCAAGGGCCACCCGATGAGAGACTGCCCTGACAAGACTACGCGAGTGGACAGCGCAGCCAGCAAGACGATCGAGCTGAAGGACGCGTTGGACTTGGTTCAGCTGGTCACGCCTGCGACGGGCTCGGCAGCGTCGAGCCCACCGTCCGCGGCGCCCGAGCAGCGTCGCGCAGGCGCGCGCAAGCGCCGTGCACATGTCAACGGCAAGCTCAGCGGCTGCTCCGAGCGGCGGCAGCGCCGGCTCAGGCGGCGGCGGGGCAGCGGGAGACACCGCGCCCGCCATCCAGTGGGCGCTGCGCCTGGCGGCCCAGGCAGCTGATCCTGCGCATCGGACCTCGATGCTGCGAGCTCCACGGGCTGGCGGCCCAGGAGGCGACAACGAGAGCTACGGCGAGCACGTCGCGGTAGACTCGGGGGCCTCCAGAGCGACGCGTCCGCGCAGCCAATCCCCGAGCGCGGCGACGCGTAAGCCTGCCCGGCGCTACGACATCCGCGCTGCGGACGACAGGCGCGCGAAGCACTGCGGCGAGGAGAGCGTCGTGCAGCACGACCTGCTGGATAGCCCAGACGCGCGCGGAGTGGGCATCGACTGCCAGGTCGCTGACGTCTCGCGCCCATCACGGGGGCCGCCGAGGCGTGCGACGACGGCCACTCCGCGCCGTTCTCCCCGACGGGCTCGCACATCGCGCCCGCGGCGCTCAGCCTACCGGAGGGCATCGCCAACGCGCCCTGATCGGGAGCCTTGAGACGGGGGTCAATGCGGACGGGGGTCAGCCAGGGCGTTAGATCCTGCAGGATCCTGCGAAGACCCCCTCTGGCTGACCCGGGTTAGCGAGCCGCTCGAGGCCGCGAGGCGACCGCTCATATTGGCTGACCCGGGTTTGCGAAGATCTGCGTTGCAGTTTTTTTGTTCCTGCATTGTAGTTGGTGGTTTCCTGCTGACCCGGGTCTGGCTTGACC